TGCGTCAGCTGCAGCGGAATGTAGCGCGTATCTGCTCGCGGCGTTGTCTTGGGCGTCGGTGCTGGCGGGGATGTCGGCGCGCCCGGACCCAATGGGCAGAGGAATGCGCGCTGCAGCTCCCAGCCCACCTCAGAAATGATGCTCGCCTTCCGAAAGTAGGGCGTCACCTCGCGCAGAAATTTAACTGCAAATACAGACATCAATATACGAGCCCATGAATATGCATGCCAAAGGAACGTGTCGCCACCGGTGGGCTCCACCCACGCACCAGGATGTGGCGACATCAACCACACAGCATTCAATCAGTCCGTCCTTGCCATCGTCAGCGTCAAACACAAACGTTGCGGCATAAATTCATTAGAGTTTCCGCTCCATTTTTATTCGATTTGCACACACGCCCAGGACAAGCACGTCGCACACTGGGACGAATGTTTATCGAAATTGTGCACTAAGCAAACACCTAAAGCTTCTGCAACTCGAGTCATCCATTATGGAGGTAATTCAATGTCATTCACATTTATATAAAGCTTGTGATACATATCTGCTTAATCGAGCTGATTTAACACAATGCATTCTAATCAACTCTAAAAACCCATCCTAAATGCCTGATGTCAGCATCTTAATAAGAAAACCTTCAACAAATTAAATTAACTGGCAACATTTTATCAAAATCAATAAAGTAAATATATATTTTATATATTTAGATTAATAACCCGGAATATAAATTGTCTTAAATACGAATGAAAATAGATATAGAATGTTTGTTGAACATTTCATTAAGTCTCTCAGATCGGTTTATATAATCAACCTAGCCTTGTACATTTTTATGTTAGACTTAACAGTGGAAAAAGTAGTATTGTAAATATTCACACAAGTTGAATTAAAGTTATATAAATGTTTCTTAAGGTTTTCAATCGCATTTGCGCCAGTGTGCAGCTTCTATGCAAATTCTGATGGCAGGTGGCTTGAAGTAGATATATACACGTTTATCAGACTCTCGAGTCCGGTGGGTGCGCTCCGCCCACAACATTTGCACATTTCCGTTGGCGACGTTGTTGTCGTTCGAGTGATTTGGAAATTCAATTTTCACACTTAATGCCAACTGTTGGCGGCGGCTCGGCTGGCGGTTTCGGGGATTGGGTCGCTTTATGCGGCTCAATTCGTGCGCTTAGCCCAACTAATTAGAGCAGACGGCATCAGGGCTGACATAACCGTCTCACAGTCCCCGCAACACGGCCCCCGTCCGCACTGCTCGACACATTGCCACACTAATTGCTTGGCATTTACGTGCACCAAAGGGTTATGAGTGGACGTTGCCTAAGCTCGCAGCTCAGCAAACATTTACATACAAAAATATGCAACCGACAACCAACAGGCAGACAGACAGACAGACAGACAAACAAACAAACAAGCGAGCAGAAGGAAAAAAAGGTTGCCTAGCGAGAGGCGCTGCTGGGATCTGGGATCGGGGCTGAGCGGAAGCGGGAGCGGGATTGGGAGCTGGGCACGAGAATTGGTAAGCTTGGAGTGCACTAAAAGGCAAACAAGCCGGGCACAACGCAAAAGTTTAGAAACAACAATAACAACTGTAATAAGTTGTGCAAATTTTTGCATTTCAGTGCAAATAAAGTTGCAGTCGCAGAAAAAAGGAATAACATACATGTATAAAACAATCAAACTACAAATGCTGTAAGCCAAATGTAAACTACTCTTTAGGCCATGTCGCATGCGTGTATATATATGTAATACACTAAACCTTATAAATAAATAAAACCACATGACCTGCACAGAGTTCGAAAGCCAGAAAATGAATGAATATAAAAATAATCCAATTGCTATCGTTAAGCGAAATAACTAAAATATAAATACTTATCCACCTTTAATTGGCTTATTTTTACAGCGATATTCGTGTTCTGCTTAATATATATTTGAACAATTGAACAGAATCAAAGCAGACGAAGCTTTTATCGGCTGTCCTATTTATTCTTCTAGCTGCCCTTCTCCGAGCTAACGTTGATCCGCTATTCACACTTTTATACAAACTCACCATCTCAACTCACCATCTCAACTCACCATCGCAAAATCTACTACTTTTTTGGTACTACTGGCACTTTTTCTTCTGATCTTATATTGATCCGCTATTCATATTTGTATACAAATTCACCATCTGCACTCCCCAACTTCAACCCAGCTTGATTCAGTTGCCCTATTTAAGCTACTGTTTCTTCTTCTTACTACCTTACATTGATCCGCTATTTATACAAACTCACCATCTGTACTGGTCCGCGTCGCATTTTCAACTAAAACCCAGCTGCAATGGGCAGCCCTATTTATGTTACTGGCTCTTCTTCTCTTGCGAGCTTACTTTTGTGATGATCTTCTTATATATTTTTTATATTAAAACACACACACAGAGACACACAAACACATATATATATATACTGCTCTCTTATTTCATTATTTTGTAGTCCAAAATATATTTGCATTGAATATAACTTTGATTAAAAATCAATAGTTCATATTTCTAGTAAAAGAATGGAATTGTTAATGTTTATACACTTCTAGGTTTGCCTGTTATCACGTTTCGTGTTTATTTTTGAAACTTTTATGTGAGGCTAAATGGTTGGGCTTATCAACGCGGGGTAATACCCGCTATTGCTTATATATAGAATGGGTTTCAACGTAAATGCATACATTTAAAATGTTTTAGCGATTAGATAAGTTGAAAATTAAAATGTGTTAAGTTATTTGTTTCGGAGTAGCAAAAGTCTGGCCATCGAGCAGAGGGGGGCAAGTTTTTTGCACCTTTGGCAACGAAGCGAGAAGCTGGCGGCACCTGACCGCCTGCATAAATCAAGCCGGAATAGAGCCAAAGTGGGCGTGGCCGTGGGCACACAAATATGATATCAAGTGCAGGCGGCGCTGCTGCCGCTCTCGCAAATCGTGCGTTAAAACTTTGCGCAAAGTTTTTAGAGTAAAATCTCACGCGCTGCGTTCCGGAAAAGAAGAAGAATTTACTTCGTCCCCTTGAACGGGGGGGAGCTCGGCTTTGGGGTGGACTCGGATGCGGGCAGCCAACCCAGTGAACACTCTTGGACGGTTGGCATGCCCACAAAAGTATGCCAAGCTGTAAAAACCATTGCTAATGGACTTTTGGTAGGCAGGCCAGGACAGGGACTGAGAAGAAGGCGGAGGCAGAGGCAGAGGCTGAGGCGGAGGCGGAGGCAGAGGCAGAGACGGTGCCTGAATACGTAGCCAACTGTCGTCGACGCCTTTTGCCTGGGCGACGAAATCTGCCGTTGACATTTGGCAGTTGGAGTTTGGATTTTGTGCAACTGGACGGCAAAAGTTGGCGCCCAGAATCCCAGTTACAGCCACCAGCTTATTTAAATTACAATAAGACGGCTGAGACGCGGCAGCTTTGGGCCAAAACTGGATAGAGGCGAACGCCAGAGTCAGGCAAACGACTTGGCCAAGTTGTAAATTCAGGTTCGAGCTGAACACGCAAACGGGCAGGGGAATGGGAATGGGAACCTGGACCTAAACCTGGACAAGGAGCCGACCCAAGCCGGAGCAGATCGCTGTTAAGCATGTCGCCGCCCATTTTCGCTATGCGATTGCCATTTTGGCTGTGAGTTGGATTGGGATTGTCATGGTAATGCTAATGGATGCTTGTGCCATTTTACGTGCTTATAGATCTGGGCCACTTTAATTTAAGGAACAGCCCCACTGAAATTATGAAAGCTGCCTAAATACGCGCAATCAGCAATAACAAAAGACGCATTTACTGTGCGCCGTGTGGCAAGAGATATTAGCTGGCCAATGCGGAATGTAACAAGGTATAAATACATAGAGAATATAAATGCATAGAGAATATATAGGACAAAATAATGTGCATATACTTTAAAATATTATATATTTTTTTACAAAATTGTACAATCCTAATAAAGCAAACTTAAAGACAGTTTTAATTTAAAAGTATTAAAGACTCATAAAGACTATTTTCTTGCCTATGCCCGATATGGGTCAGTAGAGATATATATATATTAAAGAAATTATTAAATTAATCTTTTTTATTCTCATTAGTTTATTTTAGTATAGTTTTATTTAAACAAGTGCCAAGAACTCAAGAGTCTCCTATAAAGCGGTTAGGATCAAGGGGAACCTTCACCTTCTAGACAACTGGGCCCAGTGGGGTGGAATATTAAAATTAATAAATAGATTAAATTAATCAATTACATTTCTCTACAAGAGTTTAAGACTAAACACATATTGATTGTTATTATTTTTACATCTATAAAGAAAAAGATCTTTTACTGCTGCTTTTATAACAGGGTACTTTCCCCAGCTAAAATATTTGTTCTTTGCGCATATTAAAGTTAAAACAACACGTCCAAGAAATATGCCCTATGGGGCAACATGTTAGAGCATCGAGTATGCGGCAAGTGCCTTTTGATTAGTTTTTGAGGCATTTATTCGCTCTTAATTTTGGGGCGACGAAACTTTTGGCGAAATGGATCAACGACATGTGCGACCAGCTCATCAGCTACGTAGCATGCGGCTCACGTTAGCGATGACGACGACGACGACGACGACAAAGCCGTCGTCATGGGCATGGAAACGGACGTGGACGTGGACGTGGACGGGGACGTGGCCGTTGGAACGTGCCTTGAGGGCAACGGGGGGCCGGCTGAGGGCTGTTTCATATTAAAGCGGCGTTAACATTGAGCTTGATGGCTGCTTTGATGGGCTTCGATACGTTTTTAAATGCGCAAATATTGCGACTTGTGTCCCATTTGCATTGGCTGGGCAAGAGTTATTATCGTTATCATAGCCGAAAAATGAGCGCAGCTGACCTTGCGACCGTTACTGAATTCTGATGTAGAATCCCCCAGCGCCAGCTGACATATGTAATGCGCTATAAAAGCGAGTGCACCCACAGCAGCCAGTCACATACCGTTACCATACGTTCGACGAGCAACATGCGAATCTTCACCGGAATAGTCCTGATGCTACTGCTGGCTGTGTCCATCTCGGCAAGGCCGCAGCGCCGCCAGCTGAAGAGCCAGCGGCAGGTGGAGTTGGCTAGCACACCGTATCCGGCAGCTGGTTTCCGGCCGAGAATACCCTTCGATCTGCCCAGCGAGCGACAGCCCAAGCTGGAGGAGCCACTAGCCACAACAACAGCAGCGACTACCAAGATCACGGTGGAAGATTTCGGCACCACAGAAACGCAGAGCACCACCGAGTTGCTGGAGCTGGATGTGCAGATAAATGCACGCACACCGGCCAATACCTATGGTGCACCCGAGCAGTCAGCGTCTAGTCCAGACGACACTGTTGAGGTGGTTGCCCAGGCGCCTGCTCGTGACTTTCAGCCGCCCGTACGCGAGGCTGTGGAGGATTTTGCCGCTGTTGCCGTTGATGGCATTGCTCCTGAGCAGCAGCCTGTTGCTGATTTGCCTGCCCTGGACCAGGCCGAGACGCCGCTGAGCAGCGATGAAGAGCTGCCGGCCACCGAGATTGCCATCAAGGCGGCAGCCACACCTGCCAGCACTTACGGTGCGCCCAATACGCCCGCCAGCAGCTATGGCGCGCCCGAGCTCGAGGAGCCCGACAACGAACTGGAAACGGAAGAGTCACAGGTGGAGCTGGTCGAGGAGGCCGAGGAAGAGCTGAACGCTGCTGCTTTAGGCCTGGCCAGCGGTCGACTGGTTCTGCTGCCCATTAACGCCGCCGGCGCCCAATTCGGCCGCCTCATCCTGGCCGTGGAGCAGCCCAAGCAGCAGCTCGGGCGCCAACGCATACGCAGCGAACGCTTGCGCCGCCGCCACTAAACCAAACCAAACCAAACAAAACCCAACCCAACTCCCTGACAAGCGAATGGTATTAAATATTTGTAGCCAGCCAGTTTATGCACTTGTTTGTTCTTTGTCTCCAGCTGTTGGCCACTGTCCACAGTTGCCGGGATCGGAATTGGAATTGGAAGTGGAATTGACTGCATCAGAGTCAATTCCATGAGCGTGTGTTTGCACAGATGGAAGTTGGCTCAGCTAAATTGTTCTCTATGGGTCATTGCATTGTTTATGCGTACTGTTTGCCTTGCAGCTTAGCCGTCCAACTCGTCTCCCCCTCTCGCTCTATCTATCGCTCTATCTCCCTCTTTGCTCTGCTCAAGCAATCGTCTAATTGATGCTTCTTGCAATTGCTACACAAGAGACTTCTTTTGACTGGGCGAATTACTTATACTTTTATATAGAGCACATCTTATGGAGCTCTGTATACAAAAGAATATTATCTTGGTTCAGTCCCAGTTGTACCTGGATGCCAGTCAATAGAGATTTTATCTGGTGAATCAACTGGACTGGATAAATGCTTAATCAAGTGCAATTTGCCTTTTCGATATTTTAGTCAACTTCTAGACTCGAATTCGACTCAGGATTTGACTTTATCCATGGCTGCGTGTAGTATATGCTGCATGCCACTTCAACAGATGAAAATATAGTGCGTAGCATTCATTTTCATTCGCACGGCGATGGCAACTGCTGTGCCACGCCCACCGCCATACCGCCCAATGGCATAGCAACTATGTATGTATTTTGGGGCCATTTGATCAAATGGAAAGAAAACTTTTCTCATTACTCATTGCCAAGCCAAGGCAAACAAACAAACCGACGAACCAACGAGCCAACGAGCCGGGCCAACAAACCAGCGCAACTAACGGCAGTCAACAGCTAAGAGTCAACCGGCGAACGGGGGGGCGACAGTGCGGGGGCTGTTGATGGGGGATTTATAACAGTATACAGCTGCAGCTACAGCAGCATCAACAAGAGCAACAGCATCAGCCGGTAGTAGCTTCCATGTTGTGCTGACTAATCCCACGAATGCACCGTGCCAGCTACACTGACAAAAATTAAATACTCACTAGGAGAATATAAATCTGAACAATTTTGACAAAATATTTAATGGTTCAATATAACCGATAAATCAAAAAAATAATTGGACTTGAAAATAAGGCATTCTAATAACAAACCTCGCCCAAGGAAGCTGCGCATTCAAAGAGCTTCACTGTACCAATCATGTTGGAATATGGAAATACTTGAAATATATATAAATATTCGTTATTACCCATAACTATTGTATAACTTAAATTCGGATTAGCTTAACCTGAGCCTAATGCAAAAAGATTTTCTTGCAATTTCCAACACCTTTTTTAACACTGTATCGCATAAGTTGCGAACTTTGAGCGTGGAGTGCTTGTTAGTTCGACTCGCTCAATGGCACTTTTTAAGCGCACACATGATTTATCTAGCTAGAGCTGTTTTTTGTACTTTTATCTCTGCCCCAGCAATGTACAAATATTTTGGGCAAATAACAATGTGAGCCTTGGACATGGCCAAGGATACGGAATGGCTTTGGGTACGTACCTTCCAGATCGACCACGCGACCGGCACGCTTGAGGGCACGCACTGCCTCATCGTGGGTGGCATCGCGCAGCTCCTCGCCGTTCACGGTGAGAATGGCATCGCCCACGTAGAGGCCTTTGGCTTGGTCGGCGGCCATGCCCCGAAAGATCTTCGAGATGAGTATGGGCATGCGATTCTCGCGACCTCCTTTGATGGATATGCCCAGGCCGTTGTTGTCGGACTTGATGATGCGTACGTGGCGCTTCTGATTGGCCACATGATCAGGTACATCGCACATGTCCAGGCCAACGGCGTCCGCATTGTTATTGTTATTCAGACAAAGATCGCCGTTGTCGTTGTTGCTGCTGCCAGTGCCAGTGCCAGTGCCAGTGCCAGTGCCAGTGCCAGTGCCCACAGAGCCATCCAGTTCGGTATCCTGAACAACCATGCCCTGCAACGAGGCAGAGCTGGGCAAAGTTCCATTTTGACTGGCGCCTCCTCCGCCGCTGTGATTGCTTCTACAAAAGCCACGACAAAAGTTAACCCGAAACCTCTAACCCTTGCTCGATCTGCTGATCATACATACCCCAGAGTGCCGTTTAGGGTTGTGGATTGGCTGTCGCTCGAAGGATGCGTAGACTCGCACGACTCATCCAGACTCACGGCTAGAAAGTCCGTTTCCAGCGTTACCATCACACGGTACCAAGAGCCGCGCACGCGCGTCTCCAAATTACCGCAACGCATTCCCGACGGCGACGGCGAATGCTGCTGAGGTATGGGCTGTTGTGCCGCTGGCGGCGCACGGCCCAAGCTCGACGATTCCACCATGACGCTAGCTTACAATGGCTGTCCAACACGTCAATCTACATGGCAGCGTCTGCGCTAGCTGAAAAAAACCACACAAAAATACAAAGATTTCAATATGAAGAGTTTTTACATCTAGAATACTTCAATTTAAATCCTAAATCCTCTCATAATTTACTCTTTATATATTATTTTTATATAATATTAAAAAATCTTTAGCTTAAATCGATGATCATTATAAAAATGCATATCACGATTTGTGATTAGTTGTTTTTTTTTTCAGTTCAATATTTGAAAAATAAACATTTTCTACATTTTTACAACAAAAACTTCGTATATTTATCTCATATATATTTAAAACTCGATCTTTGCATCAACAATCCATGCTTCATTCATATTCCATGCATATCTCATGTTAACTGGTCCAAACTCAAATCATATTTTATTTAATTCCTTATTCTCTTTCTCTCGCTCTCGCTCTCTCTGTCTCTCTCTCTCTCTTTCTCTTTCTCTTTCTCTTTCTCTCTCTTTTTCTTCATATTGCATGCATATCTCATGTTAACTGGTCCAAACTCAAATCATATTTTATTTAATTCCTTATTCTCTTTCTCTCGCTCTCGCTCTCGTTCTCTCTCTCTCTCTCTCTCTCTCTCTCTCACTCTCTCTCTTCTAGAGAATCTTTCTATTGCTCTGCCTCACTTTGACTTTAACATTCTTCTTTACTTTTACTCTTGCATAAATATCGCCTTTCTTTGCGATTCTCATGAAGTGTAACATAACATAATCGATTGTCTTGCTGCTGTCCTGTTCCCCATTGAATCACTGAAACTAGAATTGCAAGCTGAGTAATTTTCATTTGAAAGAAGGTAAAGACAGGAAATTTCATAAATTCACTATTTCCTCTACCATCTTATTGTTCTTCGATACAACAGACCATCTTGTTGAATTCAGAATCAATGTAGAAAATGTTGCTCATTGGCACCTTCATTTCCTTTGTCTTGCCGGAGAGCATTAGTCAGCTCAATATTAATTTGGACAGCCGGCTGTCAGAGGTGAAAACAATTGGGGTTTACTGGAACTCAAATGAAGTGTCCGCAGGGCAACCACAAATTTGGACAGGATGCCACAACATTTGTCATTATTTTGCTGGCCAAGATTTATTGCATACCACGCACACTGGTCCCAAGAAGAAGTAGACCAAACAGCAACTACAGAAGAGAAACAAGTGGGACAGAGAGAGCGAGAGACACACAAATAAATGGTATGCAAATGCAGCGAATTGTGCGCATCCGGTGCATCCGTCGCATTCAGATCCTTTGCAGCAACAGTCGGCAGCAGTTGCAATTACGCATCTTGTCGCCGCCGCGGGGGGAGTTTTTGTCTGATTTTGTTTTTGACAAGTGACTGTTCCCCTGTGCCGCCCCCTTTGGCCCAGCCTCAATATACGCAACCTCCTGGCTGGCTGCTCCTGCAGGCAGACATCAACTCCTCGTTCCTTTCCCCTTGTGTGTGTGTGTGCGAGTGTGTGTATGTGTGTGAGTTTGCGTGTGAGTGTGTGGCATTTGTATGTACATTTCCGCTGACGCTTGAGCAGGAAGTAATTTTGCCACTGCACTCGGTCTTCGGTTCTGGCGCTGTTGCTGTTTCTGCCACTGTCGCAGCCGCTGCCTCAGCCAGCGTCGACGTTGACGTTGCCTGAGTCTGTTTACTTTGCAATTTATTGTGCAACATTTGTAATTATTATTGCAATGCTGCATACTTCTTGGCGCTGCTTGTGCCCCTCAACTCCCCGTGAAGCCTTCAGGCAAGGCTGGCAAAAAGTTTTTGAAAAGCGCCAAGTGTGCGAATCCTTGAGACGGCAATGAAGACGACGACTGCGTCGTGGGAGGCAACGGAGACGCACACCCTGGAGCTGAAGATGACGACGAAGATGACAACACACTCATAATTGTAAGCAAACAGAAAAATATAGCAACACACACACACACACACACACACACACACACACACATAGCCTTGTATTTAATTAGGGCAGTTCAAGAAGTCTGCTAAAACAACAAGCCAGAGCTATTGAACAAATACAGAATTGTTGCATGCAATCAGCTTTACCGAGGTCTGCTCTTTGGTGAGACTTATAATCTCCAGCAAGTGCAGCATTACGCAGCTTACAAGCTGGCCAGAATTAAATAATTGTTAAGTGAACTTAATGAATGCTTTTTAAAATGGAACAACAAAAGGGCTTAAAACTTTTTTGTATAATACAGTTTTTACACATTTTTTTTTTTAGCTTGAACCCAAAAGCTTTTAAAAGTTATGCCGTTCTATGTATATAAAAGTCTAATAGATGATCAACGCCCAGCAACAAGAGCTTGCTTTTGGGCCGAAATTAAGCCCTAAGACGTGGAGTTACAAAATTCAACTTGCAAGTAAGCAAAACAACAACACAGACATATAAGTGTGCATTACGAGCATAGCCTAGGTGAGCTTTGTTGTCTGAGCGTCGGACTAACCAGTGTGAGGTCGCTGGTTCAAATTATGCGGCAATTTGAGCGGCTTCGCATAGATTGGCAATTAGAGCTAATTATACAAACAAATTGCAACATTTTCCACATTATTTCTTTTTCTTC